ATTGAATTTCCATAGACGACAATGTTAACATATGACGAGATTGCTATATGAAAATGACGAAGAAAGTTGAAAATATGGCTCAAAAATGGGAGATCAATATGCCAGTAATCAACCATATGAAAAAAACTAACATGTTGGCCAGCTCAAACTCTTGCAAATCCCAGGTAAACAAGACACACCTACTGTATTTGGATTGCACCAAGAGAAATCACTGGAAAAACATCAAGATTAGAACATCCAAATACACACAGAATAAACCCACAGGTACACAGCCGCTAAGTAGTAAACAAAAGACCACATGTTGGTCTCACCTCTGACCCAGGTGATTACGCCCTCAAACAGGGAGCACCTGAGAAAAAAAATATTTAATAAATGTCATTGGTTCTTGCTAGGCATTTAAATTGAGCAGCCATTGGCCAATTAGTGGCATGAGACCAGAATGACCATGCACTGTGCACTGACTGTGTGTCTGTGTGAGTTGTGTGATGTACTGAAATGCCTCTACAAATGCAGCCATGGATTGAAATTATTCAGTAAATCCCTACCTTTTTTCAGATTAGACACCAGTAGCTTTTATTTAGGGGGTCAGACTGTTTTCTTTCCATTCCCTATCCCCTGACATAGTGATCAATCATTGATCATTGCCAGGTTGTCAATGAATTGAATTCTCATGAATTTGTACTTCATTCTCATTACAGGTTCTTCATTCTCAGAGTGTTCGTGAAACTGCAACGAAACCTTGGATCATCCTTGAAAAGAATGGGACAATCCACACGGCAAATTGTGATTGTAAAGCTGGTCTTGGAGACACATGCACACACGTGTCAGCAATTCTTTTTTGGATGGAAGCTGCTGTCAGAATACGAGAAACCAAAACTGTCACACAAACAAAAGCCTACTGGTTACTACCGTCAAATGTACAACAGGTGCCATATCAACCAGTATGTGAAATTGACTTCACTTCAGCAAAGTTCAAAAAGAAAATGTTGGACAATTCCATTGATGCTTCTAATTCAAGCCTGTTGGCAACACCAACCGCAGACAAAAAGCAGGGAATCGGTTAAGTACACCTTCAGCAGATGATATTCAGAGTTTTTTTCAAGGGCTTGAATTGACTGAAACTAAGAGTGCTGTACTCAGTGTTGTTGAGCCATTTAATAGCAAATATATTCCAAAGGCAGCTCAAGAAACATTTCCTAAACCATTAACTAGTTTGAAAAGGGAGGACTTGTGTCTAGCACAGTATGATCAATTAGTCAGAGAGTGTGCCAGTATCAATTTGACAATTTCAGAGGAGGATGTCAAGGTCATTGAGGAAAACACACGTGGCCAGGCAGATTCTAAACTTTGGTTTAGGTACCGTGCTGGAAGGATCACTGCATCGACAATGAAGACTGCCTGTCATACAAACATTGATAAACCCTCAGCCAGTCTCATAAAATCTATCTGCTATCCAGATTCTGTTAAATTTTCCACAACTGCAACGAAATGGGGCTGTGATCATGAAAAGGCAGCAAGAGAAGACTATTCAGAATTCATGTCAATGTCACATGAGAAATTTCAAGTGAAAGATTCTGGACTAGTGATTGATCCAGAGTTTCCTCATGTAGGGGCATCTCCAGATGGAATTATATGCTGTGATTGTTGTGGCTCGGGCGTTTTGGAAATCAAATGCCCATACTGTGTAAAAGATAAAGATGCCACTGAACACGCTTGCCTGAAAGAAGATAAACAGGGAATATACAGTCTCGATAAAAAAACATCAGTACTACTACCAAGTGCAAACACAGTTATTTCTGTGTCACAAAGAATATAGCGACTTTGTAGTATGGACTGAGAAAGGGCTCCATTGTGAGCGTATTTCCCCAGACAATAACTTTTGGCAGGAAATCCTCAACAAGGCAACTGATTTCTTTGAAAGAGTAATTTTACTTGAATTGACTGGGCAATTCTACTCTAGGGCACCCCTGACAGAAAAACCTAGTTCAACAAACCAATTGTCAAGGGAAAAAGTCATGCCCAACCGAATTGACCATTCAACTTCAAGTTCCCAAAGTGTTTCAGAATTATCTCAGTCTGAGGAATCTTGGTGCTATTGTAGAGAGGGTGAACATGGCAAGATGGTAGGTTGTGACAATAAAAATTGTCCTATTCAGTGGTTTCATTTTACATGCATCAAAATGAAACAGGAACCTAAAGGAAGATGGTATTGTCCTGAGTGTAGAAAAAGACCGAAGTCAAATGCCTCAAAAGCTGCTGCAAAGAAGAAAAGGACATTAAAATCGAAGTAAATGCTTTGAAAGAACTAAGTCAAGAAATGTATAAAAGAGACTGTATTTTAATTGACCACAGAAATTATGAGGCACAGAAATGTGCAATCAATTGTATTAGATGCTTGAATTAAAATTATCACATTCAAATAAGGACTCATCTCTGTTATCACCATTACCTGTTGTTATTATATGTCGTTATTCAAACTGTACAACAGATGGAGAGAGATTAGTTAGTGCACAACAGACTACTACCAGTTTGTCAATCATTGTCACACCCTCGTTGTCTTTGTACATGACAAAGTCTATAGGTAGAGGCCCATTTAAAATTAAGTATTTCTGTCGCACAGAACCAATCACCCTTTCCACATGAATCCGGACATTTGCTATTTTCCTAGTGTCTATTACTTCTGGCATGGACAGTTGTTTCTTGCCTCTCATAAAAGTTGGAACTTTGATTTGTGCACACATGAGTCCAAGTGTATCAGACAGATCAAAACCTCTGTCTGCAAGGACAAGATCTCCAGGCAAAATGTTGTCAAGAAACCCACAGTTCTCAGTTAAGTGTTTATCACTTACTCGACCTCCCCAGGCTTTGGAAATATAACTGATAACACCCTGGGGCGATATACCTATCAGGAACTTGACAGTGTTATGGTGTTTGTAAGAGGACCATGTTTGTGCCCTAGCCATCAGATTTGATGGCCTATCTATAAAAACTTCGAAACAGTCAATGATAACAGCAACTTTCTTTCCAAAGTTAACACGAAAAATCATTGGCATTGTTTTTATTAGTTCCTCTCTGCTTGGCCGTCGAACTAGAAATTTAAGTTTCATTGACAACAGATCCATGATTGCCTTGAAAATTCTGGACACAGTTGAGGAAGACACGCAAAATCTGTATGCCAGATCCTGAACACTCAAATTTAATCGACATCTCAGCAAAGTTAAAATAAGTTGCTGGAACTTGGTTAGGGAGCTCTTGTTTCCAGCACTTATGTATGGTTCCACAAAACTGAACACATGCATGAGGACAAGAAAGTTGGGCAGTCCAGTGTAGAATTTCACTCTATAATCATCTCCTTTGAAAAATTCCTGATTAAGGTCCATTTGATCATTCTTTGCTTTCAATTTATTTTTTTCATCACGGAGACAGTTGATCTCTGCTTCCATTGCTTCAATGACAGCAACTGTCAAGTCTGTCTGGATTCCAACAGAACTGAAACCTTCTTTGGAGTATTCATGATAGTCTGTGCTGTCATCCCTGTCATTGCAATTGACTAAATCCAGAAGAGCAGAAGCAGCTTCTAAGTCATTTTTCTTCTTCTCTCGTTGCAACACTCTTTCGAACCGTGCCACTGCAGTACTTGCACTTGACTCTTTAACCTTCAAATGACCAAGGTTGAGGGATGGTGCCCAGTCAGGATTGTTGCGGTCATAGTGATGCACTTTTACCTAATAAAGAAAAAAAATAAAAATATTAAATCAAAAGGGTTTCTTTCATAAATAGTCTTGTCCGAGATGCCATGCTGCCTACAGATCACTATTCTATCTGCTTATAGCCCTCAGCAGGATGACCATCCTTGGCACTTGGCAGGGGTGACAGAATGCTTGAATATGGCTTGATGATAGTTTGGTAGCTGTAGGAGGTCTACCCTGCACTGCGCATGCATGCATTGTACAGCAGGTGTGGGCTGCTTTGGGTAGGGTTGGCTGCATTGGAATTCCTAAGGAAGCTATTTGTACCATTGTCATCTCATCATCATGGTGCATCCCTTACAAAAGTTTCCTATAGGAATTCTATAGAACAAATTCCTGTAGGATTCCTATAATATTTTGACACGTGTTTTCCTATAGGAATCCTATAGGATTTTGTGTCAAAATATTATAGGAATCCTATAGGATGTTGTCCCATAGGAATCCTATAGGATTTTATGTCAAAATATTATAGGAATCCTAATGGATTTTGTCCTATAGGAATCCTATAGGATTTTTTGGCACAATATTATAGGAATCCTACATGAATTTGTCCTATAAGAATCGTGGATATTTTTCCTGGAGGTCCCAGCTCTTTTGGAGAAAGAGCCCACCAATCACTTACATAAATAACATTATAAACTAAAATTAGTTAAACAAGAGTATTTTATTGCTTAACATGTACCAGACATAAATTTAATACAGTTGTAAGAAAAATATAAAAAAAGATAAAACTATTACCATAAATATATTGCACATCATTTCTTGAAATGCAATGAAAATATAAAGTTGATGACAATTTGAATAAAAAATGCAATTCCCTCCACTCTGTCATTGTTTCTAAGTACTAGATTTTTTTAATAAAAATTATTTTATATTACCGAGTAATTCCAAAAAACAAAACAGTAAACAATCTCAACCAGCAATTACAAACTTTTCAGTCAATCAAGAAATGTACACTGAAATAAAATAAAAAGTTTACTGCCTTGGAATAAAATGATGTACATAGTGAGTGATACACAATATCAAGACAATTTAAAAAATAAATGTATAAAAAGTACAATTACAAAATACTGGTATGCATATTGTGTTTTTTTAAAAAAAGCACAGA